TTTGAATGATACAACTCCGATGTAAGACGCGAAAATTTTTTTTTCTTTCGTCTCTCGATCGGAGTTTGCGATGAACGAGCCATCGCTAAAAAAAAGTGATCGCCAAGCAAATCGTGTAGTTTGCGATTTCGTCAAACCGAGCTACAAGCGCCATTTCTCGAAAAAAAAAAAAAAAAAAAAAAAAAAAAAACACCCTCCCGGCGAAACCAACTTTCAGCGAGATTATTTGGGGAACGACGAAATATGCCGAACGGAAGCGAAAATCGCCTAGCTAAACTAAAGTCGGTCGAAAAAAAATACACATATATATAACAAACAAGCAGCCGAGTATCCTCGGAGGACCCAGGCACAACAATCGCGACGCGGACCTGCATCATCGGCTCAAGTTGGCTCGAGTATTCAGCGAAAGGGAGAGAGAGAGAGAGAATCTCGGGCTAATACAGCCTTAAACCAGCAGTGTAGTGCTCTAATAGCGCAGAATAGAGCGAGAGTCCACCCCCTTTCTCTCTGCAATCTCCGGGGAAATGTGCGTAATCGGTGCTTTCTCACGATCGTTTGTTTATCATCCTCCTATCATGTCACGCGGATTCTGCTCCCGGTACGATGTACCCAATACAGATCGCGACAAATTATGCGCTACAGTCGGCGTGCACGTCTGACGTCGTGGGTGCTAATCCGACGCCCCGTGCATCGATTTTCCTCCGATCGCTCGCTCTTCCGCTCGGACCGACTGTGCATACGTAATTATGTATATCGTGTATACGCGTGTGCGTTTCGTAAACGAGCTTCGTTTGCTCGGGTGCATCGTGTAATTACGGGACGACGCCTCGCGGCGTCCAGGTGCGATTTTCTGCATCGCTATGTTGGGGGGTGGAATTTTTTCCACGAGCGCGTTTGCTCTTTTCCCCCCCCCCCCCCCCCCGATAATTCGTGGGCGCTTGTTTGTCGGCGGTGTACTGCCGATTTTCGCTGAAATCGGGCGTGCGTTTCTTTTATGTAAATTTATGCGGTCATATACACAGGCCCGGTGTTTGCGATGGGATTGATGCGTGACTGGGGGTATTGATATCGTTTTTTTTTTTTACGTAATTTTCGCAGAGTTTTTTTTTTCCTACAACAACGCAGGGTTAACGATCGAGTGCGGTTATCGGTGGTTCTGTTTGTTTGGCTCTTGATTTATCGAGCCTGGATAAAAAAAAGCTCGAGTCAATACAAGTTAAATTTCAACTTAAATAAGCGAGTGTGTGATGCTCGATTGACTTCCAGCGGCTGACGAGAGTCTTACAAGAGACGCGCAAGTACGGGGGTATACTGTACGGAGAAGAGGAAAAGGAAAGAAAAGACTCCCTGTGGGGAAGAGAAAGGGGGTGGCGTTACAGTGTTTACGCAGAGTTGGATTTCCGAGCTGTCGAAATTCTTTGATCCCCGCCAAGTGGATCCTTACGTGCGAGTGTGTTGGTTCAAGACCGTGTAATGGGTAGCACGTTGCACACAGGCAATTTAACAGAGTGTTTGGCGTTGGGGAGGGGGGGGGTAGAATTCAGGTAATTAGGCGGGCCGTGCGCGTATATTAAAATTAATGAAGGGTTTGAGAGATACGAGCGAGGAAGCTTGGAAAAACGTTTTAACCCGATGCAAGTACACGGTGCATTTTTCATGGGGTCTTTGAATTTGTTAAAAAGTATGTAGCCCAACACGAAGGACATTGGTACATCCATAGACGTAGTCGGGAAGCAGCAATTATTCCTCCAGCTAAATTCGAAGCCTCGATTATGGAGGTTTGAAATTAGTTTCGACAAGCTCTAGATAAAAATTGATTGGACGAGCGAAATTTTGAAGAAAAAAGAGAGAGAGAAAAAAACAAAAGTTGCAAGCGCTTTGATTAAAAAAGATTTCAGCAATCGTTGCTTGTTAAAAATCCAGACGCGATCTCAAGAGCCGTGTCCCTCGGGACGGGTGCAATCGGCAATTGTCGTATATATACGCGTGTATACACACGCAGAGCGCATCGGCTTATCAGCTATACATATACACCGTGATGTATCCACAAAAGAGAGAGAGAGAGAGAGGGAGAACACGTGCCGAGTCGCAGCCAATCTGCTCTCTCGAGGGGCGTAGTGTATTCCTCACCCTCGGCTGTGTGGAGCAGCGGGCGCGATCCTCGGGCCGTAAGTGGGACGGGGTAGGGGCGGCACAGGCGCGCAAGAGCAGAACAGCCGAGAGCCGTGCGGCGCGGGACTCCTGGCGTTCAAATCACGGCCGCGAGACCGCGAGCTCGCACGCGTCTTTCGCCCGCTCGCTCCTTCCTTACCCTCCAAAGTTTGGTAGCATGTGGTGTCGCAACGTCAAGTACAACCTCGAGAGATAAACAGCTTACACGGTAACATGTACAGCTTGTACCGAGCGTGGTTCAGCGGTGCCGGCGAGGAGAGCTACCCAAGGCTGATGGACACCCTCTCGCCCCCGGACACGGTGATCCGGGCCGGGAACGACGGCGAGTACCACTTTGTCGCCCATCGTAGCGTCTTAGCGGCCCACAGTGGTTACCTCAAGGCTCTACTGGCGGCGACAACCGCGGACGCGTCGACCACCTCGGCTGTCCACGACAGCGCGCCCCCGCCGCCCCTCATCACCTCGATCACGGTACCTTCGACCATCGGTACGTACAATACACGCACACGCGTGTGGCTCAATGTTTCCCAAATGTGTACCTATTGAAATGTTGGTTGCTTGCAGGAGGCGAGGCCTTTGCGCCTCTCCTGAACTACATGTACACGGGCCGGCTCGAGGTCACGCTCGACAACATCTACACGGTCCTGCTGGCGACGCACCTGCTGCACATGCCCGGCGCCCTCGAGCAGTGTCGGGCCGCCCTCTTGAGGCTTCGCGCACCCGTGGCCAGTCCCCCCGCGCCCCCGACCTCACCGCAGCCGAGCAGCAGTAGCGCGGGGGGCGGTAGTGTCCTGCGACCGGTACCGAATCGGCTCTTGAGCTCGGCGGCCTTTTGCTGGCCACAGGGCGCCCAGAGCGTCGGACACGTCCTTTACCCAACGGCGCCCAGGAATCTCGAGTTGCCCCACCTGCCGACCCACCTACGGCTACCGCCTGCCCTGTCGGTCCTTCCCGGGCCCATTGTCGCACACAAGGTCGCTTCTTACGGGTGAGTCGCGGTACAACCATCACCGAGCAAGGGAGCAGTAAAAAACGAGTCATTCCCACAGGGTGAAGGAGCGTTCGGTGTCCCCGGCCTCGAGCACCTCCCAGGCGGCGCACCAGGTGGGTGGCTCGCGTTCCCAGGCCACGAGTCCGGAGCTGGTTGTGGCCTCGTCGGCGAGCTCGGCGACCCAGCGGAGCGACGACCCGCAGCTGCAGCAGGAACTCTGCGAGCGAGGCAGTCCCTCGACCAGCAGCGAGCGCATATCCATCGGCGACGAGTCGCAGCTGCTGCCCCAACAACAGCAGACGCCGCGACGCCGTCGGGCCTCGCAGAAACGCCGTCGGCAGGGCAGTGTCGAAAAATCATCGTCCACCTGCGCGTCGACGGTCGGCTTGCCCGGGGTCGTCTACGACGTGGCTTGCTGCGACGGCCCTGTCCGCTTCCATCGGGTGCTCAACGAAAACTACGCGCCTTCCGCCACCACCACCACTACTTCAACTACTACTGCTTCTTCTTCTTCTTCCGTGCAGGTAACGAGTTTAGTTTTCTCCATTTATTCCGTACCCCCCCCTGTGGAGTTGAGCAAACGGTTGGGTTTCGTAGCAGCAGCAGTGCAACGGCCGGTCGACTTTGGCCGAGGAGGGTGACCGGGAGAACGACGAGAACGAGCACAGACCGGGGCCCCACGACTCGCGGAGCGTCGTCGGGACAGGTTTGGACGGCAACGGGGAGAATTCACGCTCGGGGAGTAGCTACACGTGCGGCTTCTGCCAGCACACCTTCAAGTCCCAGTACTGTTACCGCAAGCACGCGCGTCGCCACCTGCTTCCAACGGAGGGCGACAACAATAACAACAACAGCAGCAGCAACGATCCCGAGTCTCGTCGGTTGGCTGCCCATCCGCAGCCATTGCCCGGACCTGCGGCTCGTCGACCGGCGCAACAGCAGACGTCGGCGGGCTCGGCGGTGCAGCAGCTAAACCAGGAGGGCAGGAAGCGCGAGGTGCGCCTGCTCGACCTGAACGTGCAATATTACCCGTGCAAGATATGCGGGAGCAAGTTCCCGAGCTACTACTTCGTGCACAAGCACCGCAAGCTCTGCCACGCCAACGTCGACGAGCCGCAGGTACGGAGCAACGGCGCCGACGACCAACAGCTCGGGGCCAAGGGTGCGCTGCAGTTGGGCCAGCCGAGCACGAGCGACGGTGGCCAGCAGCCGGCCTGAAACTTCAGGCCGTGGGTGCGCGCGGATTTTCAGCCCGACGCCCTCGTCCCGAGTGAAAAGGATGACTCCTCCGAGTAGCCGAGTGCAGGAGGTGCAAACGAACGTATACCGTGTTGGTGAATTGTTCGAGTGCAAGGGAAACTTGTGAAATTGTGTGGTATCGTGAAATTTACGAGCTAGACTCGCCAGTGAACTGATATACGGTGCGCGTTTCACGTTACGTTGTACATAAACTCATTTCATTAGAGGTGTACTGGGAGAAAAAGGTCACGTATATTAGCAGACTTTGTTTTTTTTCCTCCAAAAGTAAAGAACGCTTTTTCATAAGTTTCTGTACTACAAAGTTATGTAAATTGTAATTAATTGAAATAAATCTCAACTGTACAAATGTATACAAAAATGGCCTCGATTACTTTCCCTGTCTTCTCGGGTGCGTTGAACATTCATCGATCGATTATCATTGTAATAAAAAAAAAAAAAAAAAAATTCCAAACCAATAGCGTTCTACGACGCACGCGAATAATGGGGCTGGTGGGAATTGTTTTTGAAAAATCGCTTTGAATCAAATTTAGTTTCAAACATCAAATAAATCGGGTTGCCAATATAAAATTCGACTCACCAGTCGGGTCCATACCTTGTGTTTCCTCGTCGCTGGTTTCCATGGGTGCCGCGTGGTTCTCCTTCTTTTTGTCTTTCGACCTACTGGTAGACGTCGAGCCACCGATCCCCGCATTTTTCTTCTTATCCTTTTGCTCGTGCTGCAGATTACATGGCGTATTGTTCGCGTTCGCCACACTCGATGACGAGGATAATGCACTCTTCCCTTCGATCCTGAAAAATCAATTTTACCCCATTACGTACAATCGACCGTTTGCCTTAATTAACAAATCGATGGTATTTTAATTTTCAGAGCTTTTCCAAATTGGAAAATTAACTAGCGGGGAAGTAACTATACGAAAGATGTACGCGAGAGAACCCTGAGTAATACGAAAATGCAAATCTTTCTTTGGTCTCTCTCCCTCAGGACGATTGCACTGCCTACATGAAATCTGTGAACTCTTGACTCAATTAAGGTGATGAACGTCGGATGGATGCCCGGGCAAACATTGTCCGCTAACCAATAACCATTGATTAGCATTTCAATCTGCTAATGTTCGATTTCTGTCTCCCTCGTAGCAGCGGGTAGCAAGACAAAGACAGGGATCGAGCGTCAAATTAATATTCGACAGAACTTTGCCAGGATTTCAGATAAAATTTTGCATTTGGTGCGTTAGACAAGCGTATATACATGTATGTGCGCCGTGAAGGGATAGGCCGTCGTCTGCTCCCAGCCTCCCTTTCCGATAACCCGTCGACACTCGAAAGAGAGAGAGAATGAAACAGGGTGCTCTCGCCTTGTTTGCCCATGAAATCTCTTCCACCTAGTGCCCACGAGCACCAAATCATTTAATTGGCTCATAGTTTCGAATTGATTAAAACAAGAGCGATCTCTCTCTCTCTCTCTCTTCCATCGATTCCAATATGAGATTAACTTTATGCATTTTAACCGTTTGCTTTGCACTTTTTGGTTATTACATTTTTTTCCCCTTTTAGTTGATGGATTAAACAAAACAAAAATTGATTATTTTTTGTACAATACTCACTTTATTTCCCGACCGGATAATGTCTCCGAACTCGACTGAGACTCCTCCTTGATATCTTTGAGAAGTAACGTATCTTTAGGCTCAATTTTGATATCCTTGTTCTCCTTGTTCGCCTCACGGGCGTCCTTGGCGCTTACGGATGATGAAGACGTCGTGGTGAGTACAGTCGGCGCCGACGACGTTATCGTCGTCGTTATCGTCGTCGTCGTCGCGCCTGTAGTCGGGACGGATGCTGACGCTGTCACAGCTGTCGACGTCGTTATCGTCGTCGTCGCGCTAGACGCTGCCATGGACTCCGGGGATACGCTTGTACTATTACTATTACTACAGCTAGCAGCCACAACAGCTGTGGTCAACGATGACGCGGTGCTCGTTACCGAAGTCGTCGTCGTCGACGAAGCCGTGGACGAGGTCGTCGACGGCGCCGATGTCGTCGTCGAGACCACGCTATTACTACTATTACTACTGCTCGCCGACGCCGAGCTACTAGTCTGCGGATTCTCTTGTGTTTTCTGTTGCTGCTCACGCTGCAGCCTCGTCGTCACTCCAGTCGTCAAACAATCCATAGGTCCGATCGCAGAGTTACTATTATTTACCTGAAAAAGACAAAATCAGTCATTGTTATTGCTCTTAACTAGCAAACTATTCTACTTTTGTCGATTTGACCATTACCTTATTATTAGGATTGTTTCGCGTACTGCGCGTACGTCTCGACTTCCTCAATAGCTGCTTATAATTTTCCGCCTTTTTGGTAAGGTAGTAGTGATGCACGCAATCGGAGACGGATTTGTGATCAAACGACTGGGCAATAGCCCCAAAGTTCTTTGGATGCTGGAGATACTTTTCCTTGAACACCTCGTGCTCGGTTTTGATCCATATGTTGATCAGCTTCCTCTCACTGTGCACCGCTTCGAGCTCCTCCGGCTGTAGCAGGCCATTTCGGTTTTGAAATGCAATTTTCCGCTGCTTCTTATCCAGTAGCAGTGGAGGGATCACAGCGTAAGAGCGCATCTTTTTGTCCTCCATCTGCAAGCACACGTTTGTGTTTCCATTGTTTTTCATTTTTAGCTCATTTTTCGGTCTCTCTCTATGTATCTTTTTTTTTTTTTTTTTTTTTTTTTTTTTTTTTTTTTTTTTTTTTTTTTTTTTTTTTT